ATTACACTAGACTTTTCATGCTAGAAGGAATCATTGGTGAACTTTCCAAGGTTATTTCTGAATGTAATAATTTCCTTAGAAACTGCATATCTGATTTCTGTAATTGACCTTTAGGGTTAAAAAAGAGAGAGAGATCTCTTCTACTGAATCTATAAACACTGCAAAGTTTTACACCTGTGATCTATGGCTTATAGGACAGGGATTTATGTAGTTATACTAATTTTGCAAATCAAACAAGCATTAAAAGAAAACCTAGAAGATTTAAAGGTATTTGTTAATCTGGTGAATGGTAGCCTTTGTGCAGAGCTTCCAAAAACAAAATAAAAACAAAACCTGTTGTAGTTATATACTTTAACCTCAGTCACAAGACCTGGGGGATCTTCTAACCTCACTTTTACACTAGGTATGACTCTTGTGACATTTTTTGGGTTATCAACACCTACATATGAATTACTTTAGGAAAACAAATAAGACTGTCTTACAGAATCCTCTCACCTGTGACTAGCAGGTCTCTGAGTTTAGCACTTAATAATAAATGGAAATTTTCCATCCTTCCCGGGTTAGATCAAAGATCCTTTTTTTGTGTGTGTGTTCTTTTCACCTTCTTTCTTCTGCTCACCTTGTATCAAAAACAAGGTATATTTTCAGGGAAACCTGAAATTCCTAATGCTTTGAACAGCATATTACAATAGTAATGGTACCTGTTGGTAAACAAACAGCCCAACTCCAGGTCAATGCACTGGAATGTAATCAAGAAAGTCAGTCATGTTTTATGTGCCATGTTCTCACATGTGTCTCTCCTCTTCCACTTCATGAAAGCGAAAGGTTTACCTCCTGCAAAATGTCAGCACATGTAATAGGACACCAGTATCCTAGGACAGAGAGCCATAAGTAGCCCTTTGGAGGACGGATGGTGTCAACCAAAGGCATGTGGTTGAGTAATGGTTTCCCCTTAGAAAGCAAGTGTTACCAAAGTTGTGAAAGCATTACAGGTAAGGGCATGCTATGGTTATTTATCGTCGTCTAATGAATAGTAGAGGCATTAAAGGACTATGTATACATGATTAGGGTAAGGTAGAATGTATCATATATATATCTATATATATAGCTGAATCTTTGGTGTATTGAAATAGGCAGCACTTGGAAAGGCAGGGGCATCACGCAGCCTTTCTTCAGCACATTCCTTTCCGGAGCAGCTTCTGGCCGTCGTAGTAGAACAAGCCCTAAAGCAGATTTAATTTTTGCCATTTTCTAGGCATGGTGGTATCAGCTGACTTGGCATCAGAAAATGGCCTTCTGGTCTTTCAAAAATAAACACGAAAATCAAAAACAGGTCAAAAAAAGAACAGTTGAACTTGAGTTACTTTTAAATGAAATACAAATGCATTTTGAGAAGTGTTCGGAATAATTTAGTCAATCATTAATCTGCCATTGATACTGTAAAATAAGATGTGGTTTATTTTCACTGTTTAATTTTCTACTCAGTTCTACCAAATAGGATGTCACGTTTGGCATTTTCAGTAATGACTTTGGGATCTTTTTCACTGAAAGCACCTTAGAGCTGTACTGTAAGAAAACATTGCCCATATGTATAATTATATGAATGTGATGTTTATTGCTTATTAATTTATGATTCAGTCATTCTCTTCTATAGGAATTTTTAAATTTAAAAAGGAAATCTAGTTACTTCCCATTGTCTATCAAATGTATGCCCAAATCAACCTCTGAAAAAAATTTTCAGAAAGATTTACATTTAGATTTAGTACTTTTTTAGTTAGGTAGAGTCTTCAAAAGATTTCCGATTGTGATAAAGTTATAAAATTCAATAACATTCTTAGAGCATTAAGATACCGTTTCCTAGCTTTAGTGAGATAAGTCTTTGAATATAGATGCTCATGTGTAACAAGTGCCTGCCAGGCGCCCGGAGCTTTTCCAGGCACTGGGGACATAGTGACGGAGGAAGCACACTCCCGCCCTCTTGGGGCTGACCCTCTAGGGAGGGAATGTCATCTTGCCCTTTATTAATATTCTGCCCTTTATTAATATCCTGCATCTTGCCCTTTATTATATTCTGCATATTCCGATAAACTTGGCTTTTGATAGCTCCTAGACTATTTAAAAGAAAACTTTTAAAATTGGTTAAATTAATTTTAGCTTATTTTCACAAGTAAAAATGACTTCCTATTTAGATTTGTCACAAGCTATTGATCTTAAGACTAGTTTATTTAAAGGGTTTTTTTGCATATTTAAATTATATGTGTGAATTTAGAAATTAACCATCCATCATACCATATCATGCTGAGTATCTCAACTAGTAGATAGAAGACAGAGCTAATTTTTTTACATGTCAATATTGGCGCAAACTGGAATGAAAGAATAGATACTTTGATTCAGACCTGTTTGACCTGTTTATCTCTTCCTAAAACACATGCTAAGGGCACTCCAGGAAACACTATATTTTCCCCCCAGATATATAATCATATATGTGAAAATATGCATAACAGTTCATATTTGGATACATATGTGCACTTACTGTATCTCCTGGTAAGCTTATTTTAGGGGGAAAGTGCTGCTAAGGTACAAATAGGCAAGATTTAAGTGAAATTTCGTCACATTCTATGGAAAATGGTTTCTGGTAAACTGAGAAGGATATTAAAGTAAGTGACTTTTTTTCTGGGCTCCCATTATTGCTTGATTTCTCTTTGTCAAGTGTACAGAACCTGTCATACACTCATGATAAGTAGCACTGAAAAGGTACCCATTCAAATTTCCCCTGGGCACTAGGGTAAAAGATTGCCAGTTAGAATGTAAAGGTCAATGGCGTTGCATTCTCTCCTGATACAGACCTCCCCTGCTGGACACGGGGTGGTAGAGTCACTTGACCATTCAGAAACACACAAATACAAAGCCTTTATGACTGTTTGCCATTTTTTAATGGTACTTAGTTCGTATCTTGATCAAACTTTTGTCTCCAATAACTAAATAAGTCCCCAAGTTCCTTATTTTGATTTATTCTTTGACTAGATTTGAGGCAAATAAATACTACAGGTCCATGAAACTAGAACACACTTGCTCCTACTACTAAATATACAGGGTATGTCCTAACATGGAGTGAACTGGAACAGTGGTATGCTAGCAAGTGACGATGGACTCTTCACATTTCAGGGGTCACTTAAATGCTTTGGTAATGCCTACTGCGTTCGTTGGAAGGAATGCCAAATAAACATCAGGTCTTCTGCAGATTGCTTCAAATGGGAAAAATCTTTGTACATTTGGACTCTATATTATCCTCTTTATTCACCAGCTTCTGGAAAGGGAGGAGTATTTTTAATTTAATAATTTTTAAAAAGATATTTCCAGGCAGGAGAAAATTCGAGTTATTTGCTGCAAATGCTATCTAATTTTGCTTAGACCCGAAAGTTGTGATACTGTTCCATTCTGTAAACACTGCAGGGGTTTAAAATTTTACAATTATTTTAATATTTTTGATAACTAGGAATCTAGTATTGCCATAAAGGAACTAAGTGCCCATTAAGGATTTGTTTGGTATAAATAAATAATTTTTTTGGTTTGTTTTAAATGACAGGAAGCTACAAATCATGGTGTTAATAAACTTTCTGAAGATGAATCGTGTGGCAGTGATTGTGAGGTTTGTTTGTGGAGAACGTATGAAAGCTATTAATTATTCCAAAGCCGATGAATTAATTGGCTATGTTGTTCCAATGAATGTACAGCACTTTCACGGACCTTTGAAAGCAGCACAGCCTTAAACTCGCTTTTGCTTTATGACATGGAATGTTCTGTCATCAACCAGAGTGTGTGCTTGTAGTAGGATTCCTTATATTATTCTCAGTTCTACAGCCTTTCAATCCTGTGTATGAGTACAAAGGTTTTTTGCTTCATATTTTTTTAAATTTTGTACATTCCATCTTTATAGGTCTGTTTCATACGTTTTGTGTATAGAACACTATGCCTTGCGCTCATTGATACTGATTGATACATTCTCATTTGTTCTTTTATGAATCAAAATGCTGACTGCCTACTTAAAGAAAAGAATAAACGCTGTGCATCGAAGTGTTTGTATGTTCGTAGCTACATACGTACCACAGTATTTTGGATGCTTTAGTCTACAATAAAACTTTAATTCTGTCTCAAAACATAGGAGAAACAAGATTCATGTGTATTATCTTTACCATGCACAAAAAAATCTCAAATCATTATAATAAAGCTTGTTTTCTCCGTGTCCTGGGTGAATGTTTATTTAATATACTGTTTCCTGGTGGAGAGAAATGAAAGAATGTTCTAGAATGTCTGGAAGCTAGCAATACCTCAACGAAACTATACTGAGGTCCTGCCACACCCCTGCCGGCCTCTTCGTGGGGCCACCAGGGGTCGCTGCGCGCCTTCGGGGCGAGACTTCGTCTTTCTCCCACCCACTTTCTTCCGTTGCCCCGCCCCCGGGTCGGTGTTGGCGCCAAAATTGAACACAGGGCGAGCCCCGCCCCTCGTCCGCTCCACGGAGAAACGCGCCGCCTACGCCATGGTAAGGGCCGAGGCCACGCTCCCGGGTCCCCCTCCTGCCCAGTATCCGGGCTGCAGGGATCCGGGTCCTGCCGGGTTTCGGGGGCTGGTGCTCGGTCCCTGGGCCTCACCTGGAAGAGCCACTAAGACCACGCCCTGGCCACCCCGCACCTTCCGGGCGCGACGGGGCGGCTGGAGCGCGCGCCCGCCCACCAGTCTCGGCCGAGCGACGCGGAGGCCCAAAGTCCGCGCTGAGACGCGCGCGCCCCCTGAGCGCCCCCGGGTCGGACTGGGGGCCGCGGGGACGTCCGCCCTTCCGCCCCCGGCGGCTTAGCTTAAACACGAGTAGCGTTCGCGGGCGTGGCCCGAGTGTCTCCGAAACTCTGCAATCTGTTCGGAAGACAACAAGTCACTTCCGAACCTGGGCCCCTGCTCCCCGGTTTCGGCCACCAAGAAAGTGCAGCCCCTTGTGAAGAACTGGGAAAGAAAAGTGTCAGCGAGACGGGGCGGGACGTCCTGGGTCCCAAATGGCTCTCTTGGTTTTTGACAATCGAGTGGCGGTGTGCATCGCAGCGTGTAGAACACGTTTCTGAATGGCTCGGTTCCAAAAGTACCCCAGTGAATCTTCATTTTGTGCCAGTTAGATGATTTCTGTGAAATCCTGCCCGGGGCTGTAGGTCTATAGGAAGTTGGTCGTTTGATTAGGGCAGCGCCGCAGTTAGTTTGTGCTTGTGAGTCGTGATGGGTTAAGTGCTGGTCAAGTTCCAAATGGTCTCTGAAGTTAATGTCTTTGTGGTCAGGGAATCATTTTCATAACCTTCAGAGTTTCATGCTGTTCTTTCTGCTTCTGTTGGCAGAGAATCAACATCTAATTAAATGGATCAAGACTTTAATATCTTAATTTAGTTCAGTAGCCGTTGTTTTGCGGAGCTAATGGTAGACGTGGATGTAGGTTGTACAGTGTTTATTTGAAGATACTTGTCCAGATGTAATTAGAACTGATAACGGCTTCTTTGTGGTTAAACTACCATCCCAGCCACCTGCGCGTGAAATTATGTAAGAAGCCAAACAGGACCACCCTTAAATCTGTTACCAGTGCTCTGTGATACCTTATTTCTCTTAGAGAGTTCCTGGCCTAATGGAACTGACTACTGATAACTATGCAGCGAAATGCATTAACTTTGTCCTTTTACCTAATCTCTCTCTACTCATAGACCACCTTCTAATGGTAATGGTTTCACGTGCTGTTAACTATTCAGATTCTTACCTCCGATAATGGAGAAATATGAAACAAATAAGAAAACTTTCTGTAAGCTACATACTTCCTGTTTTTATTAATGATTAAGAAACAAGTTCAGTGTTTTGTTGATCAAAGATAACTTTTTCTCTTTCCTGGTTGTGAATTAATAGCTGTTTTGATTTAGTTGGGCTTGCAGAGTAAATTATAAGTTCAGGCATATTTTGGGAAGTGGAGAAATTGGATGTAGTGGGCCACTTCTGAGGGCTGCTGGTATCATCTACTTTTAATTTTGCAAAATGTTATTGTAATTGATCAACAGGGCTGACTTTAGGAATTCTGTAACTCCTAATTGGAGAAAGTTCCTTAGTTGTCCTCAGGTTTTGAGTCCCCTTACTTACTAATTTGAATCTCTAACTTACACCATCGGGAGATTTTCTTTAATCTTAAGTATTAACTGAGCTCTTCTTTTTAAAGACAAATTTCTAAATATGGATTAATATGGCATCCTTTTGCATCAGTTATTTTAATTCCAGCCACGATACATTGCTACTGTGGTTAACAGTAAGAACTGTTTGTTGTCCTAAAAGAGATTGATGAATAAATGAGCCTGAAAGCAAGGCACTTGGGTGATACAGCTCATCGCAGTTCTTGAGTAACGTTCATGGCTGTGAGCTGAGTGTTGAGAGCATTCCTAGAACTGTGCCCAGCACACTAGATTTCTCTCACTGTCTGCCCTTGGGTGGCAGATTCTTGTGGAGTCAATAGGTCTCTCTGAGGAACTGTTTATAATGCTAAGATATCAGGATTAGGAGGCTTTCCTAAAGCTTTGAATCTGTTTTTCACTGATACAGCCACAGAGTAAAGACCTAAAGGGATTCTCACGGTTCCTCAGTGCACCCGACGTGGCCTCTAGATTCTGGGGTGAGAAAAGCAGTGTTCTCAATCCTAGGACACAATTAAAGCACCTGGAAAAGATTTTTTAAATTAGCATGCCCAGGCTGAGGCCCCTTCACAGAGATTCCGATTCCGTTCTTTTGGGATGTACCTGGGCATCAGTGTTTTTTAAAAGCCCCTGACATGATTCTAATGGCAGCTTGAGACCCTGTGGACTAGCGGAATGATCTGAGGGAGCTTTCAGACCGAGTGTGCATGTTGCACTTGGTTTATTCGGGTACTGCAGGGGCCACTGTGGAAGGCCTCTGATACAGCCAATAAAGCTGTATTGAACTCCAGCTCTCTATCCTGGGTTTAGTGAACAGGTCTACCTAAGATTTTTCTGCTTTACCTCTCTAAGCCAGGCAATAAATGGTTATCACAGAATCTCTTCTTATTATTTCACCCTGTATCATATTTATGGGAGTTCAGTGGGTGTTGTGGGGTTTGGGGACTAACAGCCTCAACTTTTAGGGTTAGGGTTTTAGATACGTGGTCCTGATACTAAGTCTTGGCCTTTATGTCGGCTCTGTCTAACCTGGCACTAAACTGAGCAGGCAGAGGCAGTTCATGTGCTGAAGATTTTCATTCTGCCGAGCGAGACCGGCAAGCACATCTTTTTAACTGGAGTAAGTGACTTGATGAAAGTGTCTCCTAGGAACACAGAATGGCACTCGGCCCAGCCGGTGAGCTCAGGGAAGTTCTCTTAGAGGATGTCTGAAGGAAGCCTTGGGAGACTTTTCAGAGTTTTGAATAGGTAAGAGGAGAAGGTGTTTCGGTACAAGAGCATTTTTAAAGGCACAGAAATGGGGAAAGAACATTCTACGAGTGGAGAATTGCAAGGAGTTTTTGTATTACAGCTCAGATTGCTTAGCTCTCCATGTTTGCATGGTAAAATTTGAGGTGGGGAGTGGCACCTGTGAGGGTGGATCGGGGTCAGGCAGTACGGGGCCTTTACAAGTCACTCCTGGGGTGCTGGGTGCTTCTGGATGGTGGGGAGCCATCGAAGGCTTTTGACAGAGTGGAACCTGGACTTGGAGATTGAGCCGAAGTGTGCTGGGGCCCTGTGGGTATGTTGCAGGAGGCAGATACTGAAGGCCTGAGTTGAGGTAGAGGCGGTGGGAACGGAGCAGGCAGTGTGGTGAGGGAACCGGGATGACTGCCGGATGTCTGCTCCGGCTTGGGTGACGCGGTGGCATCTAACCGAACCCGGGATCTAGGACAGCAGGTCTGGGGCGTAGGTGTGGGAGAGGGGGAGTTCAGTTTAGGCCTGCAGAGTTTGAAGTGTGGCCAGCAGGCAGGTAGGTACAGGAGAGCAAAGCTCTGGAGCGCACTCAGGGACTCATCTGGAAAGATTTCGGGAGTCTGTGTGTTAGTAAAAACCATAGATGTCGATGACATCACAGGGAAGGTGTGAGCGGGAGAGGGCATCCCTGAAGAGCCCTGGGAAGCTGCAGTGTTGAGAGGAGACGGAGAAAAAGGGGGAAATGTACACTTGAAGGCTACTTCTTTTATCTGCACGACTCATCAAGGAGCACGGGATAATTTTATCGCTGTGAAGGTGAGCGGGTGGGTTTCTAGGCTCTGCAAGTAGAAGAGAGACTCATACTCTGGTATGGATTCAGAACGGCAATCCCAAACCACTCTGCCCCTGTGTCATACGCTCTCATTTTCTGGTGGAGGTTTTGGTGGAAGAGGGTCAGTCTTTAATTGTTGTTTTATTTATGTCTGCTTTTTAAGTGGTGTAAAGTATTTTCAAATTTTTTTATTTGCGATTTCTGAGAAAAATACAGCTCTTAAGAAACGTTAGCGCAGAGTCCTCTGTTAGAATGCTAGAGGTGATTGTTCTCATTCTCTCCTGCCATCTTCTGTGAGTCTCTGCATTGAGGAAACCTGGCTCTTCTACTCTTTTTATTTTGGACTGTATATGCAATATATAATAAAATTTATTAACTTACATTTTAGTTACATAGTATCTTATTTCAAGTTGGCTAGAAGAATAATAGGAACCTGAAGTAGGCTCCATCGCCTACCTGGGCAGATTTTCCTTTCTCTGGCCCACTCTGTACAATGCCAGATGACTGTCTTCCTAAAATGCAATTCTAATACGGCTACTCCCTGCTTTAGAAAGTGTGCGGTAGCTGTTCGTTGCCTAGAGTAGAATCCACTTTCTTCGGCTGGACAGTCAGCCTTCCAGCATCTGACCCCAGACTACCTTTCTCACCTCACCTGCCACTCCCTCTTCTTCCTGTGCCAGACAAACGCCATCCACGGTCTTTCTGGAGCATTCCGTGCCTTAATGTTGTGGCCTGTGCATTGTCTGTGGTCTGCCCAGGACACCGTTCTCACGATTTCTCAGCTCACCGGAGTCCTTTTCGTGCCCAGCTGTCCTAGCGAACTCTGCTTCCTCCTCAGGTGGAATCAAGTCATTCTGGCCCGAGTAGTAGTTCATTCTGTTCTGTGAGACAGTTGTGCATGTTACACGTTTGTTCAGTTGTACGTAGTTACATCTGTTTTTCTTTGAGACATTGTTAATCTTTTGAAGTAAACACAGTGATTTGTCACTGGATCATTTGATAAATAACGAATTTCTACAAAATGCCAGGCTCTCTGTCTCAGCCAGTTTTTGTTGTGCTGCTGCACCTACCACAAGGCTTGGTGTGGTCAGTAAAATAGTCAGAATCCGTCTGTGGGCCTGGCTCTGAGCGGCGTCCAACCTGTTGGTATTGGACAAGGTCATTCATAAAATTTGTGATGATGCAGACCATGTTCTTTTAAACTGCAGTGTTTACAAAATCCAGTTTGGTTCTTGTTTTTGTGCTTTAGTCAAAGAAGAAAGGACTGAGCGCAGAGGAGAAGAGAACCCGCATGATGGAGATTTTTTTTGAGACGGTAAGTCGCTTTCCCTAATATTTTTAGTATTTTGCATAATTTTTCCTTACATATATGTCAGCCAGTGTTAGCCATACCTTTTTTATTAGAAATCAATACTCACCAGTTTCCTGAAGAATGAATAAAATTCTGCAAACATTCGTGGCACTTGTGGGCTGTGGGGCACGAGAGGACCTCACCCCAGAGCTCACAAGGTGTCTCCTACCCCGACGCCCCAGCACCGCGCACTCAGAACGCTCTGAAGCACCTTCGACTGTGTCCGCTTTCTGCCTGCAGATGATGGGAACAGTGCACATCCACCGAGTGTCTCCTAAGTGCCAGTCACTTGGTGTAGTTTATCTGATTGCATCCTTTTTAACTCTATGGGAATAAGACTGTTGTTATTCTCATTCTACAGATCCGGACATTGAGATACAGCTTAAATACTAGCTCTGGATCTCAAAAAATAGAAGGATGATAGTACAAGGATTTAAACCCAGGGAGCATCATCTGATTTGAAAGGCAGGGCTGAATACTGCTTCTTTGCATTTGTGACTCAGTCTATGGTGTAACACATATGTGATGGTACATAGGCCTCCTTAATTCTTCTGCTCTCTGTGCCTGCCAGAAACAGGAAATGTGTTTGAAGTCTCCTCTCCTAAGTGGCAGAGCCAGGGTTCAAATTCAGCCACTTGGCTCTGAAGTCTGTTTTCTGTACTAGGCTGCAATACAGTGGCTTTTCTTAGCTTCCAGGGTAAAGTCCGTGCCTTTGACCTATGAAGAACATTAACTTGGATCTCAGCCCACTACCTGACTGGACCTTCAAAGTCTAGTGTGGCCCCAACCTGCTGGCTATTTTCCTTGTATATCAATGTGAGAAAGATGGGGAAAATGGCAAAATAGAATATGAAATTAATAAGTAATGCTAATCCTTGACATTTTCATTTTAATAATGCAGATTCTCAGTAAAACAAGTGAAATATTCTGAGGACCTTTTCTTTTTTAATAAAGATTTTATTTACCTTTGGAGAGAAGAGAAGGGAGGGAAAAGGAGAGGGAGAGAAACAGCAATGTGTGAGAGGTGTATCCCTCAGCTGCCTCTTGCACACTCCCACCTGGAACCTGGTCTGCAACCCAGGCATGTGCCCTGACTGGGAACTGAGCTGGCGACCTTTTGGTATGCAGGCCCACACTCAATCTACTGAGCCACACCAGCCAGGGCACCCTTTTCTTTTTAAACTATTTGCCCTGTAAGTGTGATCTTACTGGTCTCACATACGATGACTGACTAAAAGTCCTTGGCAGTTCAGAACAGACTATCATATTAATGAGGATATGATTAGAGAGATAAAGTGATGAAGTTTATACAGGAGGATTATGATTATTTGTTCTGCTGAGTTGAAATATTTTCCCTGTGGTCTCAGAGCAAGAAAAGTAGATTTAATTCCTACCAGGCCGTGGCAAGTTGGGGCGAATGGTGAGGAAATTATTTTGTCCTTCCTGTTACTGTTAGAATTTTCTCAAATATCAAAATTGGCTATTTCTGATTGCAAAATTTTTCAATTCTACTCTTAATTACAGTCATGCACAACTCAACAGTGGGCTACATTCCCAGAAATGCTTTGCTGGGTGATTTTGTTGTTACGCGCACCCAGACAGTAGAGCCCACTGCACACCCAGGCCGTGTGCTGCAGCCTGCCGTTGCCGGGTGTGACTGTAGAGAACGACGAGATGCAGTCAGGCCCAGGAGAAAATTGTGCAACAGACGGGCGAACACGAGACGTATGAGGCTGCTGCCCGCATAGCGTAGCATAGTGTAGCACACTGTTTCACAGCCAAGTTTTGTTTTTTATGAACAGAGAGAGTACACTCTAAAACAATGCTAGAGTGTTCAATATAGTAAACACAAACACCAGTAACAGTCCTTACTAACAGCATCAAGTGTTATCTACTGGAGAGAATCGTATGTGTTCTACTTACGTACAGCTGGCAGAGCAGTAGGTGTTACCCCAGCCTTTCCACAAGCGTGTGAGTAATGCTGGCACTACTGGCACGGCAGCTGCAACGTCACTGGGCGATAGGAAGTTTTCAGCTCCATTGAATTCTTACAGGACATCGACCTAAGTGCTATGCAGTACATGACTGTAATCGTATTAATCGGTGGACTGATTGGTTTCAGTTCATATATTCCTAAATATGTTCATTCATATGATATATATACATATATATGTCATATATATATGAATCTATTAAGGAAGATGATAATAATGGTATCCAGCTCACAGTGTCGTTATAAGAATTAGATGAGATAATCTGTGTAAAACATTGCAATGACTAGGTCGTAAGAACTTAGTTAGAAGTTATCTAGTGGTATCTTACACATAGTTTTTCTTTTTCTTTTTTTGTAAGGGCTAGAACCATTGTGTTCCTCTCTCCTTTATTATGTTCCTTTAATGCTGGGGAGAAGTAATATATACTTGTCCATTTTCTGTGTCCACTTAAATGACCGCGTTTGAGTTCTGCGGCTAGCTCTTTGCAAGCTCATTAATGAACACAGCAACCACACTGGGGCGGCCGGTACGTCTGGGGTCTGTCCTGGACGACCACACAGGGGCAGGGATCTCAATAAGGACGTGACCTGTTTCCAGGAAATCTACAGCGTTTGCACACAGGTTTGATTAATTGATTTGTTTAATGCATCGGAGGCCTAAATCCGGTAATTCATTGCATGTTCTCTGAGACCCTAATGTGTTATTTTCAAACAGTTTATTTCCAATGTGTAAAAGCTGGTTTCACATCCTAAGACCAGCGACTTAGTATTTTCCTTAATTTACTAGATCTTAAGTTTAGTGAGATGAAGTTACTTTTTCTACCACTTTATTATGAAAGGTGAAAGGATTTTACAGTGATACCTATGTGTTCCACACCTAAATTCTACCATTAACGTTGTACTCTACTTGCTTCATCACATATATATTCACCTGCCCACTCCTTTGTCCACCCATCTGTTTGTCTTTGGGAGGTGTGTGGAATGTATACCCGGGTACCAGTCTTTTGTGAATACTGTCTTCTCATCAGTGTTTTTCTTTTCAGTTTCCTAATAGTACCTCGGATGAGCAGAAGTTTTAATTTTTATTCAGTCTCATTTTCATCCTATTGAAGTAGCCTTTTCAAGTTTATTTTGGAAGAAATAGATCCCAGATTTTCATAACAATTATCACAATAATTCTCTCCTAATTACTGAATATTTCTCTCTTAAATATTTCACTTTGTTTATCCAAATCTTTTTCACCACTTTAACCAAAGCTTATTACAAAAAGAAAGGCGTAATTATAAGGTTAATACCCTACATGTATGGATTCCCATAGTTTTCACTTAGGTGGACATGCAGCATGTGCAGATGAATGATTCATAGGCAGCCGTGAGTTATCTAATGTTCCTGTTGTTTAAGCGTAGCTCTTCCATGAAACTCACTGTAAACAAGTCTTGACAGTTGCCTGTTGTGATTTCAGTTAGAACTGCTGAATATGTAACGTATGATATATGGTAAGCGAAGTACTGTTAGTGTTTTTTTAGTTTATGCAAAACTCTTACTTGCTTTGGGTTGTGGTTCAACTTCATGTTTACAATCCTCAGTGTTCAGATTTTTGGTGGGGCTAGAACAGAAATCATGTACTTAAAAATATACATGATAGGTTTATATATTATTAGTAGAAAACCTTATGGCTTCGAAATTACAGTATTTTTATCTTCCTTATTTTCCATAAACACCTCTAACTCTTAGGGACATTTTTGTCTTATCTCAAATTAGAGATATCAGCTTTAGTTATCCTCTAATAAAGGATCATATTTTCAAGGATATGGCCCAGAAATGGGTTTAAGATTATTTTAAATTATTTGCTTATTTAATTTTTATTGTTTTCTTCCTTTTTCTTTTTTATTGTTGTTCAAGTACAGTTGTCTCCATTTTCCCCCCACCACACTCCCCCGCCCCACCCACCCCACCTCCCACTCTCTATCCTACCCGCCTTTGGCTTTGTCCATGTGCCCTTTGTAGATGTTCCTTGATGACCCTTCCCCATTTTCCCCCAGTGATCCACCCTCCCCTTATTTTTATTGTATTTTTTCCATTACCATTTATTGCCCTGAAACCCCTGTTCTCTCTCGGCAATCACCACACTGTTGTCCACGAGCCCTTATTCCTTTTTGTTTGATCCCTCCAGCCCCATCCCCCACCCTGTAGCTGTCATCTTGCTCTCTGTGAATGAGTCTGTCTCTGTTTTGCATGTTAGTTCAGTTTGTTTTTAGATTCCACATATAAGTGAAGTTAGGTGGTATTTGTCTTTCTCTGACTGGCTTATTTCACTTAGCATAATGTTCATTAGGTCCATCCATGCTGTCACAAAGGGTAAAATTTCCTTTTCTTACACCCAGTAGTATTCCATCATGTAAATGTCCCATAGTTGTTTTTTCCACTCATCTACTGATGGACACTTGGGCTGCTTCCATTTCTTGGTGATTGTAAATAACGCTGTCATGAACACAGGGATGCTTATGTTCTTTCAAATTAGTATTTTGGGTTTCTTTGGATATATTTCAAAAGTGAGATCGCTGGGTTGAAAGGCAGATCCATTTTTAATTTTTGAGGTATCTCCATACTGCTTTTCACAGTGTTTGCACCGGTTTGCATTCCCACCAATGGTGCAAAAGTGTTCCCCTTTCTCCATGTCCTCACCAGCACTTGTTTGTTGATTTATTGATAATAGCCATTCTGACAGGTGCGAGGTGATAGCTCATTGTGGTTTTAATTTGCATTTCTCTGATGATTAGTGAGATTCAACATCTTTTCTTATGTCTAATGGCCATCTGTATGTCCTCTTTGGAGAAATGTCTGTTCAGATCCTTTGTCCTTTTTTTTTAATTTGAATTGTTTGGTTTCTCTTTTTTTTTTTTTTGTTTGGTGTTGAGTTTTATAAGTTCTTAACAAATTTTGGATATTAACCCCTTATCAGGTGTATTGGTGAGTATGTCCTCTCATTCCCATTCTGATGCTTAAAATCAGTGTCAGAGAAGCCAGTTATCTCGTGTTAACAAATGGTTCAGCCTAACTAGTTGTTATACTTCAGTAGGAAGGTGTTCTCCAGGGACTTTAAGAATCGTATGTTCATGCAAAACCTGTCCATTTTAGTTTCCGAAGACACGTGCAGTTGCTTCTAGCTCCAAAATGCTTGATTCTACTGCACTGTTCATTTCCAGGCATAGTTTTTTAATACAGTGTTTTATGAACATAGTTATGATAAATATGTAATATAAAAGCGTGTTGTTCATCTCTAAAATTTTTTTTAAACAGAAAGATGTATTTCAATTAAAAGACATGGAGAAGATTGCTCCCAAAGAAAAAGGCATTAGTAAGTATCAAAGACATTTGGGGACATTAAGGGAAATATTGGTCATCTTTCCTGCTATGGTCTTTCATTTTACAGAGACATAAAGTCTAGAGATGAATGTTTGTAAAAGCCCTTACATGATGTCCTGGGGCCACGGCCACGAGTCCTGTGTTTGGAGTATACTGTAGAAAAATAAAAGGGAATATGCATGCATGCCTGGGGACACACGTGTGGTGTGCACAAATACCACATTTATCTATTTATGGGTACGATGTACTTCAAAAGAAGTAAAAGCTGTGCCCATGTGTTTTAATATTTGTTAAATGTGACTTTTTGTCTTAACATAGTATACTAGTTTTCGATAGCAGCAGATTATCACAAACTTGGTAGCTTAACAGAATAGAAATTCATTTTCTCATAGTTCTGGAGGCCAGAAGTTGAAAATCCAGGTGTCCACAGGGTGGGCTCCTTCGGGAGGCTCCGAGGCAGAATCAGGGTTCTCTCCCTGCTCGCGTGGCTGTCTGCAGTTCCAGTCCCTCCGTCTTCACGGGGCCCTCCCCTGTCTTCTCCCCTTCCGACTCTAGTGAGGACACGTGTCATTGGACTTGGGGCCCATCCTAAATCCAGGATGATTTCACCTTGAGATCCTTAATCATACCTGTACAGATGCTTTTAACAAACAAGGTCACATTCATAGGTTCTGAGGGCTGTCCTTTGAGGGGTCGCTGTTGAACCCACTACATATTATACATTTTTAAAAAAACTTCTCTGAGTATAGAAACTACATACTTATTTTAACAGATTTGGAAATTATAAGGAATGTAATGAAAATAAAAGTTGTTCATAATCATTCTATTCTGAGACCACGATTGTTAACACTCAGGTGTATTTTGCTGTCCTATTCTTAGGGTCTGTTTGTCTTTGTATGCCTGTGTTTGTCCATTTCACTGAGAAGGAACTGCTGCACATAAACAGTTTTATGTTCGTGTATTTTTCCATATAGCTTTTTATCATCCGCATGTACCTATGTCATTTGCCTTGAAAAATGACGTACAACAGCTTCATCTCCTCGTGTTTAGTTCTGTGACTACCGACTGTGTCATAGTTTGCTGAGTCCATTTCCTGTTGTTGAACATCTAGCTTGTTCCCAAATTTTTGCTGCTAAAATGAATGGGTAATTAACATGCTATGCATAAATTTTTTTCTAAAAGACTATTTTTTAGAGCAGTTTCAGGTTCACGGAAAATTTGGGAGGAACGTACAGAGATTTCTCTTATAATTCCTATCTCCTGCCCCCAACGTGATAGCTTCTACTATCCACACCACTCGCCAGTGGTACATGTGTTACAATGAATGAACCTGCAGTGACACATCGTAATCACCCGAAGTCCGTAGGTTACAGGAGAGTTCCCTCTTGGAGGGGTATGTCCTATGGGTTCGGACAAATGCATAACAACACAGGTCCTTCACATGGTGTTGTACGGAGTGCTCTCAGTGCCCGAAAATCCTCTGTGCTCTGCCTAGTCATCCCTTCCTCCCCCCCTCATAATTTTTTCCACATCTCATTACTTCAGAGGGAAATAGAAGAGAAAATAGACTTGTGTAGCCTTAGGCTTTTTATATGTATTCTCAAAGGAAAGGCTGTACAAAATCAAACTCACATTCATTTCCTGGAACCGTGTTTTCACTTTAGAATTCTTTCACATTTTATTTTAGTTTGTACTTCTTTACAATGAGGTTGAACGTTGTACACATTTGGCGTCAATTTTATTTATTTATTAAATCTTTAATTTTCTAACAGATTTTATTATATCTAGTGATCTTTCTTAGTACAGTTTTATTTAATAGAAAGTAAAAAAAATTAGTAAGAATCATCCATGAATTTCAAACATTTGTGAAACACGACTTTGTATTTTAATATGCTACTTTTAAAAACTTTTTTGATTTATAAACTTACCCCTAACCATAATATCCAGTTTGTTTCTTTATTGTTTAATTTTTTTATAATAGTGCTATTTTAGTTTTCTTAGCAAAAAATGGCAATACATGTTTATTGTTGGAAAAAATAAGAAAATAAGCAAAATGAAGGAAATAAAAATTGCTTCTTAATCTGTCATTCCAAGCTAATCACTTTCACATTAGTGTATACTGTCTTTTAACTTTGTATTTTAATATAATACATTCTACATAGTACATTTTGAATGTATGTATAGCATGCCATTAAACATTTTATAACATAAACTTAATAATTGCATAGTATCCCATCACGATCAAATATTTTTAAAAGTGTAGTTATTGGACTGGTCTCCAACTCTTCACCACTGAAAACAGTGCTTGGACAAGAACCCTTACGCGCACCCATCATTGTGTTCTGTGGCCGAATGCATGTGAGTGGGACTTCTATGTAAAAGGCGTGCGTAAGCCTAAACCTTAGTTCTGTGATGCTAAGGGTTTTCCGCCCATGTTGACTACCCCTTTCCCTGAGTCCTTTATCGTGTCTCCCAGTGTTTTTAATTTGGTAGTCAAAGTGTCCTATCTCAGTGCTATTTTACATTTCTCTAATTATTAATGAGGTTGGACATTTTCCTGTTTACTGACCATGCACAGTTTGCAGATGCCCACTGATATACTCTTGTTCTTCTATTGGACAGTTTGCTTTTTTGTTACTATTTCTAAAAGCCCCTTATTTATTAACTCTTGAAAAAATATTGTTTATGCTGTTGCACTTGATTAACTTACTAACTCTTGATCTATAATATTTGTTGTATTTCCCCAGTTATTGGCCTTTTAATTTTACTCATAATAAATGTTTAAAAATTGTCTCTTTCAGCTGCTATGTCAGTGAAGGACGTTCTTCAAAGCTTAGTCGATGACGGTATGGTTGACTGTGAGCGCATTGGAACGTCCAACTACTATTGGGCCTTTCCAAGCAAAGCTCTTCACGCGAGGAAACGTAAGTTGGAGGTTCTGGAGTCTCAGGTAAGCTGCCATGGTTAAAAATAATAGATTTGCTTCGTAGGAAGTCCATTCCACTTAATCTTTTCATTTAATGCTTTCTGTTAAATTGTTCACATATATTATTTGACTCAACTTCTGAAGATAACAACATCACTTTCTCCCAAACAGTATAAGGACCTTAGGCCCTGACCCACATGGCTCAGTTTGTTGGACATTGTTTGACAAATGAAAAAGTTGCTGGTTCGACTCCAGTTCAGGGCACATGCCTGGGTTGTAGGTTCGGTCCCTGGTCGAGTCACATACGAGAGGCAGCTGATCGATGTTTCTCTCACAGAACAATGTTTCTCTCCCTCCCTTCCTCTCTTCCCCTCACTCTAAAAATAAATAAATAAAATCTTTATGGAAGAATTGGTGGCAGGGTACAGAGTGTTCCCTGAAACCCACCCCCTCCTCCCACCAAATGCACAGTTTCCCCCATTAGCCTGTTTCGTGTTAGTTTTTGTGCAGACACATGCTCTCGTTCATCTTGGGAATTGCCGAGTCACGTGACAGTATGCTTCCTTGCTGGAAGGACTTGCAGGCTGTTTTCTGAAGCAGCCGCGCTCTCCTGTCTTCCTATCAGCAGTGCGAGGACCCCTCACCGCTTTGGAAGCTTGTCCTGACCTGCCTCTTTGATTGGTGGGTGTGAAGTGGTATCTCATTGTTTTGGTTTCCGCTTCCCTGATGACCAAGGATGTCGAACATCTTTTCCTGTGTTTACTGACCATTTGTGTATCTTTCTCAGAGACCTATCTATTCAGATCTTTTGCCATGTTTTATCTCTTAAACATGATGCTGCATTATTTTCCTATGAGGAAACGACATGCGTATTTATCACTCAGCAATTTTTAAAGTGGTTATGCAATTAAAAACTTCATGCAGGGCAATTTACTTTTAGGCCTTACTGTGTTTGCCTGTCTTCATGAGTTTTTGTTCTGGCTTCTTTCCTCTTTGTAAATTCCCTTGTCCTTCATTTCTACTTAGCCATTTCTAAACATCTCTCCTCAGAAACCTTGAACTCCCATAGCTTAAGGATGTATACCACAGCTTTTCTCTTTGAACTTTTCACATGTATACCTCTTCTCTTCTTGATTAGTTTTTAAAGTAACTTTATTGAGGGATCATGGGCAAACAAAATCTCATATTTAAAGTTTATAAACTAATAAGTTTTGACACATGTATATATTCACGAAATTGTCATCCCAGTCAAGATAATGACTTACGCATCACCCCGGAAAGTTTTTTTATTCCCTTTTTCAGCTTTTCTCTCCTGCCCTTCCCTGCTGTTCCCCTGCCCCTGTCCCCAGGCAACAACTGATTTGCTCTCTGTCACTATGTATTAGTTTATCTTCCTAGAATTTTCTCTAAATGGAACCATACAGTCTTTTTCCTGGCTTCTTTTACTCAGCATAATTATTTAAAGATGTATCTATGTTGCTTATGTATTAATCATTCATTTTTATTGCCAACTGGCACTCCGTTGTACGTATGTACAATAGTTTGTTTACCTGTTGATGGACATTCAGATGTTTTGTTTGTTTTAGTTTTGGGTTATTAGAAATAAAGCTGCTGTGAATATTCACATACAAGTCTTTGTGTGAATGTTTGTTTTCATTTATAGTTGGAAAATAACCTTGCAATGAAATAGTTGGATCATATGGTAGGCGTATGTTTAACTCTTTCAGAGATCGTCAAACTGCTTTCCTTAGTGTTATGCCATTTTGTGTTGCCACCAGCAATGTGTGAGAGTTCCAGTGCCTCCACATCCTGACTGATGCTTGGTATGATACCCATTCTAAAAAGCGTATGGTGATATCTCTTGGTTTTAATTTCCATTTCCGTATTGACTAATAATGTTGAGCATCCTTGCGTGTGTTCATTTGTCATCCTTTTATCTTCACTGATGAAGTGTCTGTGCAGATCTTTCTGTCTTTTAAAAAATTGAGTCGTTTGTTTTTATTACTGAGTTTAGGCAGTTCTCTGTACTTAATGAATATAAATTCTATCACAGATAAATGCTTCCCAAATGTTTTTCTCCCAGTCTGTAGTTCATCTTTTTATTCTCTTAACTGTTTTGAAGAGCAGAAGTACTTATTTTGATGAAGTCTATTTTTTCAATTTGTTTCTTTATGGTTGGTGTTTCTGGTGTTATAACTTACTTTCTTCCAGGCAATTTTTCATGCCTGAAATTGGGTGTAACAGGTGCTCATTAAGCATTTCTTGGTTGATTTCACAAGACCAAGAAACTGTGACTTTGAGAAAAATGGCCAAATGTACATTTTTCATTTCCTCGCCTCTGAATTTAGCACTCTGTACTAAGTAAGCAGAGGAGTTTGGCAAACATTAATAGAAATAAGCAAGAAATTCTTGCTAGGATGCTAGTATAGTGAATGAATTTTTAAAAAGTAAGCACAATATCATGTTTATTGATAGCAAATGATTGAGGAATAGGATGTTCTAATTAGTTACTGTCAATGTACTCCTCCCTACTGGTCTGAGAGTCTGCATCCAATGTGTTTGGTGACACATCCCTCTCTCCCCACCCTTGTTTGCAAACTGAAGGTCAAAGCTTAACCTCACACACCTGTTCAGAAATCAGAGGTCAAGTCAGAGGCTAACCCGTAGGCAGTATGTTTAATATCTTCTGTTTTAAGCACTCCAGAAATGGATGAGTGAGATTCTGATATGTCATTTGTAAAAGGCTGATAGCTGTTGGCATTTATTATCAAACAAACAAACGGACACTCAGTGCCCTTTCACTGATCTAAACCTACTCTCTTCTTTCTCCAAATTTTGAGAAGTCTTGACGACGGCATACTCTGCCCCTCATGCATGGCTCTGAAGATTGCTTATCATTTTAGAGAAGCGATATGGCTTAATGGAAAGGTAGTTAGAAATCAGGCATGGATTTAAGTCAGGTTTCACTTACTAGTTGTAGGATCTTGGAAAAATTTCTTACGCTCTTTAAAGTCTCAGTCTCGAAATTTGTAAAAGAGAGATTATGCTAATTTCAAAGGGCTGTGGAGCAGCTTTAAGTGGGATGTGTAAGTGCCTGGTGGAAGTAGGCACTTAGCGTGTGGCGGCCACAGATTCAGTCACGTTAGTACGCATCCAGGAGTATGTGCTGTAAGTTGATGTGTTCAGTCAGAACAGATATTTGAGGGTCTGCTATGTACAAAACACTTTACCAGATACAAGAAAAAGTAGAATTCAAAATCCATGCTTGGTAAGAAAGAGCTTGTAACCCGTGCTGAAGCTAATACACATATGCACGAGAGGTGAAAGTGTTACGTGGCCAACTGCCGGAATGAGTTGTAAAGATGCAGAAATGCTACAGGAGATGGTGGGATTTATATAAAGATGGGAGGCACTCAGTTAATGTGGAATTGAACCGGATTCCTAACTGGAATCTGCAATTCCAAACTGCAATCAAGGTTGCACTGAAGGATCTGTTTATTCAACACATTGCCAAAGTAAAATGTGAATTTCCTTTGAGTTTCTTGTTAATTACTTCCAGATTAGAGAGAGAGAGAACTCTTAATTTCTTTCCCCCATCAATCTCTTCTTTTGTTCTGTCAGTGATTTCAATTATGTGCAGGAATGTATTCATCTCTTGAGAATAGACATTTTTGTAGCAGATCGGAAAATTAAATCAGGAAACACATTTTTTTCCTCTCTTCCCTTTAGGTTGTATGTATTGACCATTATTAAAGGCAGTCTAAAAAAGCCTCATGATTGTAATTTAGATTTCTCTTTAGTGTCTTCTAAGCCAGCAAACGAGCCATCAGCCGTGCGTGGGGAGGGTGAACTGTTAGTACTTCCACAGACACTTACCCCGCGGCCGTTCTCTGCATGGACTGTGCCAGGTTCTTGGGGCAATATAACATAACGGGATATGTATTTCACTCTGAGATGATTTACACTTTACTTGGTAACGCAAGGTAAATAGCTTATGTAGTTAACTTTTTATGAAAAGACATAGTTAATTTTTTGTGAAAAGTTAATGAATTGTGTAAAATTTAATTCTATGAGAGCAATGCCAAAGACTGTCGTTGCTACAGGTCCTGATTGTTACATCAGTTTAGAGGATGGTAAGATTTTTCTACATCTCTCTAGTTAAGGGAAACTTCTGAGAAACGATTGCTTTGAGCAGAAATTGTAGTAGATTTAGGTGGGTGGGGGAAATTGTGAGGGGGGCCGAGGATGCCACTGATGCTTATGTTATAATGACAGCCAGAATGTATTGAGCATGTAGCCGGGTACCGTTCTAACAGCTTGTCTTGGCTATTTCGGACCACAGGCCGGGCAGCTTATAAACAGCAGAAACTTATTTCTCCCAGGTTTGGAGGCTGGTCAGGTAGGAGTCCTCTCCGGGTCACTGACTTCTCAGTTTACAAACCTCATGCGGTGGAAGGGGCTAGGCATCTCTCTGGATACTCTTTTATAAGGGCACTAATCTTTTCACAAGGACTTCACCCTCAGACTTAAGCACCTCCCAAAGGCCCCTCCTACTAATGCCGTTACCTTTAGGGGTTAGGACTTCGATATATGAATTTGAGGAGGACACAAACATTCAGATCATAGCAGAGCTTTTACATGTTTTATGTCATTTGATTCTTACAACTGCATGAGGCAGGTATTAACTCCACTTTACGAGTGAGGAGACTGAGGCGCCCAGAGGTTAGATAACTTGCCCAAGGTGACAGCATCGGCACATGGCGAAGCAGGGTGCAAATCCAGGCTCCACAGTCCTTGCTCAAGACGACACATAAACAGAGCTGTAGAGCAAATTGCATTCAGTGAGTTGTTGGTGACCAGCGTGCAAAGAACGTGCAATTTTTTTTGTTATATAGTAATGGGAAAATAAGATTGGAAATTAGATTGAGGGCATATTTTGGGATGTTTTAATGGTTGGTTTGATTTTTATCATATACATCAAGGAGGGAAAGTTGAAAATTTCCTTGCCAGATTATTTTTATGTT